ACAAATAACTTTTTGCCTCTATACTTCACTAAATAATGTTTCATTATAATTACAACATTAAGTACAAGTGCCATCAACAATTTGTTGAGGGTAAACACAAATAATTCTTGGTAAGTATAAAATAACTAGTGGGATTAAAAACTGAAAAACAAACTAGAGAATATTCTACTGCCATTTAATACCACATGGGCATCAAGCAGTAAATGAATGAAGAATATCAATTTTTTGAGTGGGTTGAACAGGTGAGTTAAAACAGAGTCTCCTCAAACAGGCTGTTCCCAAGAGTCTTTGCTTATTCTGCCCACCAATCAACCTTCTGCCAACTCATCGGTATCGTTTAAATTTTTTTTTAAGATTTTATTTATTTATTTGACAGAGAAAGATCACAAGTAGGCAGAGAGAGATGGGGGAGAAGCAGGCTCCCTGCTGAGCAGAGAACCCGATGCAGGACTTGGTCCTAGGACCCTGAGACCACGACCTGGGCTGAAGGCAGAGGCTTAACCCACTGAGCCACCCAGGCACCCAACTCATGAGTATCTTAAGAAAAAGAGTAACCAAAAAAAACAAAAAAAGAAAAGAAAAAAGAAAGAAAGAAAGAAAGAAAGAAAAAGAAAAAGATTAACATGAGATTTTACTTACTTCCAGTGCAAGCTATAAAAAATGTGGATGTGATTTAGGCATATGTGGATATAATTCAGCTACAGACTTTCATTAAATTATAACTGTGTGATCTATTATTAGTCAAGAAAATGACCAAAGTGTGTGTCTTCTCTACCAAATACATAAACACTGCAGGATCATTGTTAAGAATTCTTTCTTATAACAAAGATGATAGGCAAGGAGTGGTAAGTGAGAATATAACCAATCACTTACTATAGTTTAAGAACAAATCACTACACACCTTCCTAAGGTCCCATAATTGGAAGAAACTCTATGGTTTAGGAAACATTTATGGTTCTAAATCCCAGCTCTGAGAAGGGAGCTAGAAAAAACATGGCTAATAGCACCTTGAAAAATGTGTATAGAACTTATCTCTCCTTATATCTCTCTCTCATTCCTTATTTTCTGAGTAATGCAGAGCATCTTCCCAAGTCACTTTACACTCATAGATAATACTCCCTTGATTTCTACCTATTAAGAATCCCAAATACAGTTGTCTTATAGGACATCATCACAAAAGGATACTCTGAGTTAGCTTAGTCACTAGAACCACACTGTCCATTCCTATGCAATCTCTACAACTAAAGAACTACAGATACCCCCAAAATTGCCATTTCGAAAAAAGTTCCATCTTGAAGAACCAACACCCCAACATATACTAACAATACTAATCAGTACCACTAAGTGCCAACCTCTCAAGAAAACACAAAGAAGGAAAAGGATGGAAGACCAGAAAAAAACAGGTATTTGGTGGTTTAAGACTCTGAAATCAGGAAAAAAATGACTTAAATAAGCACTGTGCTGTATCTTTAAAAGGTTGCTTAAACTCTAGTTGACTGTTTCCTATTGTCAAAAGCAAAGATTATACACCACATAACAAAAAAAAAGTTGTCTTGACAGTATCATCTATGGTCCCTTTCAAAGCCAGCAGTTAATAAATTTTAACAAGTATTAGTGTTTTAAATGGAAGGTTCATGATAATTCAGTTATACTCGGGTTCATAAATTCAGTTTATATATACCACATATATGTGTGTATATATATGTATATATGTATATATGTATATATACCATATATATGCGTATATACGTATATATACCATATATATGTGTGTATGTATATATATCATATATATGTGTATATATATCCTTTTTGGACATCTAAAAAGAACAGTTAGTAAAACCCATCAAAAACCTTCCCAGAAAGGTGAGTCTACATAGACATAAACACTGTTATTGTTGAGGGTGGTATTTTTCTAAGTATTTCTTTGATAAGGATATAAAGTTTGGGGTTAAATTCTGTAAGGGTCATTTAATATTTAAGATAACTAAAAACCTTACATATATTATCTGGAATCATGAACATTTCCCACTTTATCATCCCACTGTCATGGTCAATTCTCCCTGTATGTAGATTCCTTATATTTCACTTTATCTATAGCGAATCTCACCTTCAAATGCATTCAGAGTAATACAACTATACAATGGCCTGTGTTTTGTTTTGTTGTTTAATATTGCAGCATTCCCTCAATTTAGTTTGAAATATCCTTTTAGGGAACCCTCTAAAACTTAAACAACCACTTGTTCCCTTCTGAAAAACTCTGAATCAATAAAATACACCAGAAAAAAGAGCCTATTGCCAATACAGAGAGGATTACAGAGGGGACAGAGAAATAAACAGAGAGCTTCCGATTTCTTCCAGAGGCTCATTTTCACAGCCTGGATTCATTTCATATACCACCAATTACCAGACACACCCATATTCAAATTCAAGTACAGAAATATGACCAAGCCAGGTATGGTGTTGTAGATTATATACTTCTCTGCTTTCCTCCATCAGCATAAATGATAACACGTTGATTATTCTGTTACACTTTGTCTCCTTGACCTTACTATCCTTATTTGCCTACCTACTTCCTAGAAGCATAAAATCTGGACATTTGGACCTTTATACCTCAAACTGACTCAGTTTTAAATACAAGGCATTCTGGACTTCCATGGCCCAATCTCCACCTATTTTCATAGCTTCCTTTCCCACAAAGACATCCCGGCACAGCAGCCTCATGTGCAGCTCAACAAGCCCATAATACCCAACCAACACGCCTCTGCCCCGAAAACTACCCCCCACACACACATCCCGTTTTGCCCATCCAAATATTTTAATGCCCAAATGGATTGTTACCAGATCTAAAGTCATTCATAACTCCCCAGTTAAAAATTAGTATCTCTCTCTCTCACACTCACACACACACAGCCCCCATGCTTCCATTCACCTCTAATAAATCCCACAGGTGTTTTGTGTTGCCATCATTTCCGTGCATGTCTGCTTCTCCCCTTTAAGACGGCTACTGGATCTGATTCATTTTCATATTCTAACCACTCTTCCATCCTCACCAGAGTAAAGGTCCTTTGCTGATGGTAAAGGTCCAGGTTGAATTGAACTATTCCTTGATTTTAATTCCAGCCTTTTTATTTGAAGGAATAAATGAATACCATGTGTTGAAGATTTTGGTAAGAGTTATCGCTTTGTAAATCTAACAAAGACAATGTCAATAATTACATAATGCATTAACTTCTGAGTTGAAGAGTGGCAGAAGAGGTCAGTGAACACAATAAATCACCACTGAAGATTATCATTTTCTAAGATTCCCCCCCAAAAATTCTCATATATATCAATATTAAAATTAACCTTTCTGTCCCCATTCTAATAAGAAGTGCTAATAACTGATGCATATGCAGGAGTGCAAGCTCTCTGGAAGCCAAAGTGTCTATACATTCCAGAGAATCTATGCCAAAGCCATGCAGTTTATTTGGTAATACCTTCCTTTTAATGCCAATTAATGTGATTTTCACCTTACATGCAATAATAAGGGCTAATATATACAAAGGATACTTTATCTTAGCTCAGAATACAGACGGGACAAAGTATGGGAAGAGTTATGAAATACACTAAGCAGAACCCTCCACTCCACCCCGAAAAAGTTATGAAGAATGTCACCAACTGTATTTGATTTTTGGTGGAAAATGGTTTCTTAAACTGGCCTCCTATCTTTGTAACCCTAACTCATTCTTATAATTTGTATTATTTTTCCTCCACTTTTTATTTACAGGGAAAGCAAATATTCCTCAAAAATATATCCGTGGGTTTAAAAATTAAATTTTTTTTTAATTTTAAAAAGTATTCCAACTCAGATGTAGTTGAACATCTCTTACTGTGAGCAAATGCCATTCACCAGTAACTGCACAAGAAATAAATACTGACTTATTTCCTTAACCTATTAAAATCAGAAGGTTTTTCATTTTCCAATTAAAGTCCACGTTTTAAAACAAAAGGTTAAAAAGGGGTCACTTATTGGCCAGCCTCCGTACTCATTACAACAGAGTTACAACTAATTCGCACAGTGTAGCAACAGTAGCCATCTCCCACACACACACACACACACACACAAACACACACACTCTCTCTCTCTCTCTCTCTCTCTCTCTCTCTCCCACCCATTAACTTTTCCTCCTTCCTTGGGAAAACTAGAATGATCCTAATACAGGCCTAACTACCCCCACCCCATGAGCACACACACATCTCCATCACCGCCCCACGGAAAAGAAATGTGGTAGCTGTGGACCAAGAGCACCGACGCTTCGGTGTGTCACTTCCCCTGCATGTGGGATAAACAAACAAACCAGCACCTTAACAGTAGCCAGCAGAGAAATTTTGTTTCCCTCGACTAATGCCTTGGTTAAGTTTTAAGCTAAGTCAAAAGCTCTAACAAATAGGTAAATCCCAGCCCCCACCCCCAACAGACACCCCAGCGGGAAGTTTACCCCAGAAATGAATGTTGGCCCCTGACACCTCCTTCCAGCAGCCAGATGCCTCCCTCCCTCCGGCCCAAACCCCCACTCCGAGCGTAATTGTCTGGACACAATCAGGAGCCCCAGGGCTGCGCTCCCGACCTCAAAAACCCCTCCCCGCAGAAGCCCCCGCCTTCTCCCGGCTCGCCCACCTTCCCCGCGTCCCCACTCGCGCAGCACCGCTCGGCAACTTCTGCACCCGCCCGGCCCGCCGCCCGCGGCCCCCTCCCCAGCCGCCCAGCCCTCGGCGCCCTCACCCCCCGGGCCGCGGCCCCTCCCGTCCTCCCTCCGCGCCGCCAGCCCGCCGGAGTCCTCGCCCACCCCTCCTCCTCCTCCGCGGCCCCCGCCTGCCGCGCCGCCCCCGCCGCACCCCAGCCCGGGACCCCAGCCCACCCAGCCCCACCCGGGAAGGAGGGATCCGCGGCCGCGTTGAGGCTGTCGCGGGGCCCGGGCCGGCCGGCCGGCCGCGCGCCACCGCGGAGGGGGCTTTACCTCAGAGGCGCGGCCGCGAGCTGCGGGGTCGGTCCCGGGCGCGGGCGGCGCCCCCTGCTCCGTCAGTCAGCGGCGGCGGGGGCAGCCGCGGCGGCACATCACACCCGCCGGCGACCGGAGGAGGAAAGCGAGCCACGCAGGGAGGGAGCGAGCGAGGTAGGGGGGGAAGGAACGAGCGAGGGAGGGAACGCCGCTTGGCTCGGACTCGCTCTCTGCACTACTGCCGGTGCTTCCTACCGCCGCCTCTGGCCGGAGAGTCGCCGCCCGGGCCGCTGCTGTCGCCACCGATGCAGCCGGGAATGAATGCACAGCGACGCCTCGCTTATCCGGAGGTCAAACATCCTTCTGCCTCGGGCATCCGGATCGGCGCCGGACCCGGAAGTGAACACATGGAAAAAAAAAAATAAAAAAGGAAAGCGTCTCTCTAGCGGCGGCGGCCCCCAAGCTCCCGCATCAGCGAAAAGAGCCGAGCAGAGCCGAAGATTACAGCGGCCTGCTCGGATTGGCCAGCTCTCCGACCGGAAGAAAGGCGGCACGTTCATTGGCTGGCGACGTCCATAAAAGCCAAGCCACTCCTCCATCCCCACCTCCGCGCGAGCGGTGCGTGAAGGGGAACGTGGAGTAATAGTGGATACGGGTATGTTCCTCTGGGCGAGGCTAGGAGAGGCGAGGCTTGGCGAGGTGTCTGAGGGAGCACTGGAAGAAAACGCTCCCATGATTAAGGACAACTACTAAAAATTCCGCGGCTTGGGTGAGCAAAGAGCCTAAGGGCGCCATTGTGCCAAGTGAGGTTCTGGAGGCTTCGCTGAGCACAGCCTCCAGGTGCAGAATTTTAGGGCCCTGGCCTAAGGGAGTGACCTCACCGGGTTGACATTTTCCCCCGCTTTCTTGTGACCTCGGTGCTGGAGCAGGGATGCAGCTGCTTGGAGCTCTGAGCCCTTGGCTCACGTTTGCATCCCATTTACGGTCTGCAGAGAGCTACGTTTGTGAGCTCAGGTTATCAATCCGTGGAGCTGTGTAATGTGATAGTTATTATCTCGATGTTTTAAATGAACCTCCTGAAGTTTCGAGAGGCCAGACCTCCCTTAGGTTATCAGGCTGTAGAACACAAAGTGGAACCGGTGTTTTCTCACTCCACGCTGCCGTCCCATCTGCCCACACAGAAAAGGCAGAAGATTCCATGCTCTGTCTTTACAGATGGTTAAGTAGGAGGAAGATACGTCACTTGGAAAAACCGCTGTGGAAATCGATCCACCGTAAAGGCATTTGTAGAGGGCTCCGAAAATGTTTATTAATGGTTAATTATTACCTAATATTGTGTCTGAATTTCTTTCAGAAGTCAGACATTAAGGTGTGCATGAAGACAGATCACAGCCCAGTTTAAAAATTCATTTATGAAACATTTTTATGTTTTGATACACTGTATCCAAAAACTTGAGTCTCTCCATCCCTCTCTCTCAGGAAAACATAGAAGTCTCCAGTGAAACAAACGCACTTTAAAATCATGGAGAATTTTTTTTTTTTCTTTCTCCGTACTATGCCAGACTGATGATAAGGTTAATGACTAAAGTTGTGAGGTATAGTTACAGGGAAAGATGCTGGTTTGGTTTTTTTTTTTTTTTTTTTAATTACAATAGGTTTTTTACATTTTTTTTTAACCTCTCTTTTCACACTCTTTCCTAAACTGACTGCTATTACTTGGTACAGATAATAAAAGTACTGCTTCTGTGTTTGCCACACCACCACCATTTTATTAGAGAGTAAGAAGCAACTAAGATTTTTTGCATGCTCAGACTAATTTGCCTCTCAAATTACATATCCCACAGTTTTGATCTATCCCAGGGCCCAATACCAGACAGGAAACAAAGTTAATCCTATCTCAATAAATGAAAGAAATAGCTGCCATACAGGGAACTATAAATACTGTCATTGAGAACCAACAAAGCATTTTATACTCTCTGCCTCAAAAAAACTCAGATTAAGAACACCTCCTACCACCGCTCGAAGTCTGATAAATGTTTAAGAAATATAGGTATATAAGTATATGGTCAAATCGCATATTTAGATAGGGATAGGAGTAAAGGTTTACATTTTTAAACACTTACGACTCTTTTGCTAAACTGAGGCCTAGATATTGCCAATAGATTAAAACTGGCAAGTAACCTAAGTGGAAAGCCAATGAGATTTTCATTTTATTCTTTTGTATGAAAAATTTGGCAATATGAAAGTCACTTATGTTAGTGAAGGAAAAACCACAGACATCTCAACCAAAACTTGTTTTGCAACATAATGTCTCAACATAAGCAGACCAATCACACTTCTTCATCTGCTATATTAAACATCAAATACAGTTAATTTTTTATGTTTCCTATTATTGCCACTCTTCAGATATTTATAGTCTATTAATATTTTTCCTGTTTCCAAAGCAGTGTCACATTTCTTCCCCCAGAACTTTATTCTGTTCAGTGTAGATCTCTGTTGACACAAATACCGGTCCCACCATTTAGGCATACAACAACTGTAACAATTTCTATGAAAAACAGGGTGAAACAGCCAACTCGAGTTTTGCCTATATATTTCTATTAAAATGGGAGGGAACTTCAAAATGACTTCAGTCTAAGACTACCATAAATTTCTTAGAAAAAACTCTGCATTTATCAAGTGGGAGTTTGAAGAAAAAAAAAGGTAAAATTTCTGGGGACCTGTAATTTCACAACTGAGAACAGTGTAAATATCCCAGTGTCTCCCTTACATGTTTTGATTCTTTTTCTCTTCCTCTCACTCTTCTTGCATGCTCACTTTGGGTACCTAGCCCCACCTTCACACACACTCCATGGAGAGAGTATAGAATTAAGGCCTTCAAATAGATTTTTAAACAGGAAAAGTATTCCATTTCCTTCTTTAACACACTTGAAGTTTTACTGCTTATAAAAAAAGGAAAGATGGCTAGCTTTACTCTCTACAAAATATACCTATGTTCTCTCTCAAGCAAAGCATTTGTAGAACATGAAAAGAAAGCATATTGTTGGGCACCTGGGTAGATTAGTCAGTTAAGCATCCAACTCCTGATTTTGACTCAGGGCATTATCTCAGGGTCCATAGATCAGGTCTCTGTGCTCAGAAGGAAGTCTGCTTCAGATTCTCTCTCTTCCTCTGCCTCTGTCCCTCTCCCATGCATGCACTTTTTCTCTCACACTCTATATCCAAAATAAAATCTTAAAAATAAAAATAAATTGTCAAAAAAAATTGATAATTCCAAGTTCCTAATGTATCCTTAAAGATTATGAGAGCACTAACACATAGGTTTGTACTATAGTCACTTGCTCCCTATGCCTCGTTCATACTATTAAAATAAGCCAAACTTGTTTTGCACAAATTGATCAAGAAATAATCCCAAATACAAATAGAAACCCAAGATGAACCTAGCCTTCTACTTGGGTGCAGTGTATCAACTATGTGACCAGTCTGACTGAGTTAAATACAGGCAGATACTTCCCAACTAACAATGTAACAAACAACACTTGTACAAATTCCATTTATATTATTCCATCTGAGTCTGACATTCTTGTGAACGAATACAGTAGCCGTTATCATTTTTCCATGTTAGGAATGAGGAATGATGAACTCAAAGAGGTCAATTAACTTGCCCAAGATCATGTGACAATTGATAACCTGTTAAATATGAAATACAAAATTATGAGATTAAGATATTTGTGAAACCCTTACAAAATAAAAACAAGAAACACTCATTCTCTTCTTTCAAATATTCTATTTAAGTGTAATGGGAAATCTAGGACGGTGATTTACTTATTGACAGAGGGTAGGGCCCAAGGCATTGGCAAACCACTTGTTCATTTTTTATATTATCCTTAAGGTAAACTACCTGGAAGAAAGATATAATTAAGAAAAAATAAATGCTCAAGCAGAAAAAGGAAGGATACAAAATGGGACATTGTAACAGTAGCCAGAGCCTGGGAGCAGAACAAAGTATTTTACTAAGACTGGGAAGAAAACCTCTTCCCCTGCCAACAGTCAAGGGGAGGGAAAGGAAGGATGCCAGGAGAAAGGGAGTTGAAGACAAGAGTCAAGTACAAGATCACAAAACTCTTCTAAAAGACTTTATCGTATTTTATAATAATAATCTTGAGTAATGTTTGGGCACCTGGGTGGCTCAGTCAGTTAAGCATCTGCCTTCAGCTCAGGATATGATCTCAGGGTCCTGGGATTGAGCCTCCATGGGGATCCCTGCTGAGCAGAGAGCCTGCTTCTCCCCCTCTCCCTGCCCCTCCCCCTGCTCATGCTCACGCTCTTGCTCTCCCTCAAATAAATAAAATCTTTTTAAAACAATCCTAAGTAACATTTAATAACAATCACATTGTTAAGACTCCCTTGTTTTAGCTCAAGCTGACAAAACAAAATACCACAGATTGGGTGGCTTAAGCAACAGAAATGTATTTGCTCATCGTTCTGGAAGCCAGAAGTCTGAGATCAGGGTGCTAACATGGTCAGGTTCTGGTGAGAGCTCTCTTCCTAGCTTTCAGATGGCTGGCTGCCTTCTCATTGTGTGTTCATAGGACTTTCCTCAATGCCTGAGATCTCTCTCTCTCTAGTTCTTCTTAAAAGGGCACTCATCCCATCATGAGGGCCCCACCTTCATGACCTCCTCTAAACCTAGGTATTTCCAAAAAACTTATCTCTAAACACCATCACACTAGGGGTTAGGACATCAACATAAGAATGGGGGGGACACAATTCAGTCCATACCACTCCTTAAAGGAACACTTTCTACATAGAGTATACCATCTATAAATGAAAAAGAAGTTAAAGGTTAGACAAGATATTTATTACGGAAGACAAGTTGTGGGCAAATAATTTTGAAACTTCATACAAGAAAAGAATGTATTCTTAAGAGAAAGAACCTCAATAAAGAAAACTGCCTAGAGAGGCAATCTATAAACACCATGAAAAGTGTAAAAGAGTCTTGCCAAAAAAATAGGCTAAATCTCTAGCTAAGCAATTTAATTTTTGTTTTTTTTCCATTAGGTGTCCTGAATTTTGGCAGCTTTTAAACAAATGTGGCTATCTGAAGAATGTTTTGTGATAAATGAAAGAGTTAGCTAAAGCTGTGATATTTTTTTTTCCTTCTCTCTCTCTCTCTCTTTCTCTCTCTTTGGCATTGGTTTTAAGAACAGCTTGAATTCTGGGTAATATGTGAATCTAAGGTTTAGAGATGGTTATAATGACTGGCCCCTGCTCCACTTTCCATATCTTGGTTGTTTTTTTTTTTTTCTTTTT